TGCATTCTATACCCGAATTTTCCATTTTTGGTCATATAAAATAATGTTATATGAAATACAGTCAATATGCGACCGGAAAGACATATAATAGAAAATCAGTAAGAGAAAAATTGATAAGAGAGATCAAAATGACATTTAAAATAAGCATTCCCAGCTGATGGAGCGAAGCTTGCGAGTGTGAATCTTTTCTTTACTTTGCCATCGCCATTTTGAATTATACGTGTGCAACTATAGTATTTGGCTTCATATAATGGTATTTGCGCACCTTTCCCTAATTGGTATGATTTATACCTGCATGAAAGTAGCTAGCATGATATTAAGACTGTGTCTTCAGGAATTTTGTATAGCAAACCTTGAATGTGTCATTATTATGATTTTTCATGTAGGAGCCTCCTTCTTCGTTATTGCTCTTCATGCTTCTCTCTTTGCTGTCTCAGCATCCTCGGAGTTATCAGACGCTATATAAGCTGGACCTGTATCATTACTAATAACGGTATATCTGGACTACTGAATTAATAATTGACTTACGTTCTCAAATTCTAATTTCTGGATTGCATTGTTACTTCTCAACTTTGATACCGTGGTTTTACTTCAGTGCCTTTAATGTAGTATAATAGGTTTTACTTCAGTGCCTTGAGAATAATTTCGATACTAAGACATGCAATTCCCAACGGTGGAAAAATGCGATTTCGACCAGCATTTTACAATCGGATTTTATTTGGCTATTTTTGCAATGATACGAGAAAGGTATCATTCGACAGCTAAAAGCCTCATCTTTATTACTTGGTATATATGCCTATATAAATAATACACGATAACATGCCAATATACATATGCAAAATTTCCAATAAACATATGCAAATGTACAGTACATACGTTTGTCCAAATAATTTTATATATATATATATATATATATATATATATATATATATATATATATATATATATATATATATATATATATATAAAATTATTTGGACAAACGTATGTACTGTACATTTGCATATGTTTATTGGAAATTTTGCATATGTATATTGGCATGTTATCGTGTATTATTTATATAGGCATATACCAAGTAATAAAGATGAGGCTTTTAGCTGTCGAATGATACCTTTCTCGTATCATTGCAAAAATAGCCAAATAAAATCCGATTGTAAAATGCTGGTCGAAATCGCATTTTTCCACCGTTGGGAATTGCATGTCTTAGTATCGAAATTATTCTCATTTGGGATTAAAATTGAAAGTCCCTTGAGTAAATATGGCGCAACTCATGCATAAGCATCAAGTTTTGATAAACTTTTAATCGCCATTTGACATTGAAATTGAGTGACTAAAACATTTACAACAGTGGAAGCTTGCAGACTGGACTCACAATGGGATACGTTTCCCAAATGGGCAACAAACATTTGGGCAAATGTTCGAAAATTGGAAGAATATTTAAATCGCAAAGGTGGAAAAATGCGTATGCAACCGATCACTTTAAATCATATCGGCATTTGGTCATTTTTTATTGCAATCATTCCATAAAGGTGTTGTTTGAAAGCTAAAAGCCTGATCTTTATGTAAATACATAATGGTAATTGAACTGAGTGGAGTGCAATTTGGACTGAAATCAAACGCGTGATTACAAAATTGCACGACCGCGAAGCGGGAGTGCGATTTGTAATCACAAGTTTGATTTCAGTCCAAAATTGCACGACACGAAGTTCAATTTCCACTTTATTATATTCATTTTGAAATCTTAAATATTTTTGTAAACCGGAAACGTTTTTGTTGCAAAAGACACACCTCCGGTACCTCCTGAGTGCTGTAGCAAAGCAACAATAAGCGAACAAGATGAACTTTAATAGTTTTGTAAGTTTTGTTTATAAATACGTTCAAATACTGCAAAAATCTTAAAGAAATGAAGATATTTATACAGAATAAGAGACAACACAAGTAAGTTTAAACATATTGTAGGTCTTACGAGTGATTGAAAGAGTTTTGTTGCAGTTTTGTGCGTTTCAAATTGGAAATACGATAGGCGAATTTACCTTTGTTTTCCCGGAGTCGTGTCTGTCCTAACGCTTTAAATTTGCTTTTGTTGGCATTTTTGCCAGTTACTATTTGTGAAATTTCAAAAAAATAAAATTCTTTGCAATTCTTTGATAGTTTACTGTAGCTATCCATATTTTTTTGTTTTTATGTCCGAAATATTGCTTAGGCACTCAAGAGTAATCATGACATGTAAATTTTTTGTTTTTGCTCATTTACCATTTACCATATGACATTTTTCTTAAAATTCATTGGCTGTTTGAATCCCATGATTAAATATGATTGGTTGAAAGAAGGTGCGATTTCAGCACGAATCGCACTGCTATATGAGTGAGATTCGTGCTGAAATCGCACTCCTGTGAACCAATGAGATTGCAGGAAACACCATTGATTTCAAAATGAATATAATAAGAAAAAGAAAACCTATTGACGTATTAATTAACGCGAGATAACATGTCAAAGTTGGATTAGCTTTTTTTATACACGAAATTTATAATGAAAGTTAACAGTTATTTTGCCAAGCATCAGCCACAACAATTGAATCTGTAGAAATGGTTTATGTCACGCACGCATGCACAAATGTCACCTAATAATAAGTTATCATTCAGTCTGACATTATTTTTCTTTTTGCTTTCTTAAACTCTGCAAGCAGACGAAGGGGAAGCCATTTTGGTTTTCTTCGTAACGTCACACAGTATTAATGCCATGAGGTCAAATCGTGCAATAATCGTTTTTCATCTTGCACCCGTTGACGTCAATGGTCCAATAATGTTTACCCATTTTACATCATTGGTATCACAACTCTATATTTGGTAAGCCATTCAGTTGATAAGATGATTTCACAGTTGGTAGCCTGCGAACAGGCTCTCAAACTGAATTGAGAGCCTGCATCGATGACTAATGAATTTGAATATCTGCCCCGTAACGTTCGTTTTTCCAAATATGGAATGTCTATCCTTATATGATGTTGTTAACAACTTTCGTGCAAACTAAATTTAGACCGTGCAAACTAAATTTAGACTGTACAGTTTATACTGTTTTTCGAAATCGTCGTGTTCACTGTTCGGTAAAAATATTGAAACAAGCCGCGGGAAATTTTTTGGCGTTTTTATGTACAAAGAAAGCTCCAGCTCCATTCGAACAGTACGTATGTTATTAACTAGTTTAACCTATCTTTTAGTGTGCTTTTACGTATTTACGTTCAGGATTGTCTTTCATAATGCTCAAAATTTTCAACTTGTTGTGTTGCGAACTGTCAAACTGAAATGATACTGTCTTCTGTTATTAACTCTTGAACAGTAGTGAACTGTCGCCGAAACTAATGTAAGTTCTGTCAATCAATTCAATTCACAGGTATCGTTTTATCTGCTAAATCAAATAAAACAGTTATGAGTTGTTTTATATGAAAAGTTAAACTTGTAGTTCGATGTTTTGAAAAGTTTTCACACCGATTTTAACAACAAAAACAAATGTAAAGAAACACTGGATTTAATACAATGCGTAATAGTGTTTTTATTATTAGTATTTTCAAGATTAACATTTTATTTTCATGTCAAACAAGTCAGAAATATCTGTTTTCGTATGTATTATAAGCCAAAAAGTTGAAATCACTATAAATCACACGCTACAATTTACACGCATGCGTAGGTCGTGCTCATGTCGAGTCGATTTTTTTCATGCTGGCCGCGCCGATTTTAGCGATGATTTTCTCGTGTTTTCTTCGGTGAAATTTTTTATAACTTTGTCTTTTTGTTATACAATTAAGACGAGTGGTACAACATATCCAAATTTTAAGAAATTCTACAAATAACTTTTTCTGTAACCGTCATTCACGAATATCTCGAAAACTTATTTGTAAACCTCCCTTCAAATTTTGATATGTTTTCCCTTTATGGACCATAAATCTTCAAAAAAAATTTCAGAAAAATTCACCGAAGGAAAATATAGATATTGACTTCATATTGTAAATTTATTGTGAAATTAGACAAAGAAAAGTGCAAAAGATTAAACGTCATGGTTGCCATGGCAACAGGAACACTGTTTTAGTTCGTTCATAAATGGACAGCACACAGCTTCTGAACTTCGGTTCAAAGCGGACGTTACTCAAAATACCTAGAATTTTAGAGAACGGTAGGGAGCCACCTTAAATACTGTTTTCTCAAGACAGAACATTTCGTGCTTTGAGATAAGACGGCCAAGACCAATTTGATCAGTTAATGTGTTTTTTATGCATAATGCTTCAGCAGTTGACATATATAGAGCTCAGCGGAAACATTTAAATTATAGCATCTGACCAATGAGAATTTCGCGTCACGATTTGAGACGCAGATATTCAAATTCATTAGTCATCGATGCAGGCTCTCAATTCAGCCTGCGAGCCTGTTCGCAGGATACACAGTTGGCTGATAACCAATCAGAAATGGAGAATTCTTTTAAATAAATAGTAGAGTAAATTTATTTAATTTTATAAGTAAAATTACTAATTTGCCCTATAATGATTAATTATTTTGGGCGTTATACTATTGTATTCCACTTATTTATTTACATTATATATAAACAATAAATATGTGGTTTCACCAATTTTTGGAGCTTAGTGCAAACATAAACTACAAATCTGCACTTCTATAGAAGTTCATTTTTTATCTCATCTCCATTGAAGGTCATAGATATAAGCCACTTTTACTGGAATTGTTGTCCAATACCTTTTATTTGGTCCATCATTAATTCGTACAGTTAGATGGTAAACAAGAGGCTTACACGACAGACTACAGCTGATACACTCAGCCTCAACAACATGTCTTGGGAGTCGATTATGCTGTGGTTCTGACATTTTCCATGTGAATGGACAGTCGCTGATTGTTTTTGACGTACGTGGCTTCGTGAACCATTGTGAATTCTTTATTGCTTTTTTCAGTAACCTCTCAGTCTGATACGTTTTTTCCAACATAGCGTTTTTGTGCGTCTTGGAGCGATCCACCTGAGGAGGCTTTGCAGGTGCCGCTTCACAAGTTAAATGTCTCATTGTGAACATCAGAAGCACTAGTAATCCCTTGAAGAAAAGACATTGTGTTAATTATCAGAACGCTATCAACAAGATATGTGTTAAAAGCCAGAAATTAAGCTATACATATAGTCATGCGTCTTCCGAAAAGATAATATAGAGGTTCAGAGTTGACTTCCACTACCTCTACCACTACCTCTCACTGGCTTAGTACGCATTTCATTTGTTAATCGAATATATTAAACGCATCTGATTGGTCGAAGGCCCTTTTAATGGTAGCGGTATAGAGGTAGTGGAAGTCAAATCTGAACCTCTATATTATACCATAGTATTCCAAACACATGCATGCAGTGCCCCCTCCCAACCCCGAAAGTAAAGATGCGGTTCACCAAGTGCCATTCTTTTCCTGATGTTGGAGGAGTGAACTTCAATAGAATTGTCAGGTGAATCGTAAATACGAGGAACATGTCAGTCACATGCAAAGGGCCGAAAAAACATCTTGTCTTGATATACCATTAGTTTCCTGCTTCTCAATTCCATCTTTTTACAGATTAAAACGGATTAAAAGATCGAATATTGGTTGTTAAATTTTAATAAGAATTGTTGAATTTTCATAAGCATTATGAAACATTGTGACCATGGCCGTTTCGCAGACATATATAGTTGAAGACGGAAGTAGTAGGAGAAGCCTTAACTGACTGTTGTTTCTGGTTGAATTCCTCTTCCGGACCTTCGTCCGGAAATCCATCCCAAATCCCCAAACCCTCAAAACCCCTCTTCCGGACTTTGTCCGGAAACCCCAAACCCACCTCCACCCGACTCTCAGTTCATCCAAACCCCACCCTAACTCCTCCCCACTGCTTGCTTGCTCCTAGCGGAGACTTTGGCGATCACTTGCTCACTCTCCCCCACGCGCGCACACAAAATTTAATGTTTTGGAATCAACAATTTATAGATAAAGTTTTCCACTAGTAAAAAAAAACACAAAGAGTTTACCGAAATGGATTAGGAACAAGAGAGCAATTATCAACATGAAATGCAGTGATGACGAGAGCTTTAAGTGGTCGGTAATGCGCGTTGGACCCAAAACTGAAGAACGCCGGGCGAGTTGATAAGGAACTGAAGCGACAGATTTATAGGTTGGATTGACTTCAAGCTTTTATGGTTTGGTAGATAGCACTATGGCGAAAGCGTCGTTTTTGGGTGTGGTCAGTTTCGGACGTTTCGCCCCGGATTGGGGTTCGGGCAGCGTTACCATGTTGACCGTCATGGTCAACTTGCCCCCAAACAGTTGAGATTATCTGTCATAAATGAAATGCATACAAACCCACATACATGCAGGTCTTGGACTATCTTGAAGAGATCCTCAGCATCGTTCATTGCTTCGCTTTTATTAGACACTACTTAATAATGTAAATTTCCAAAAGAACATCTCCCGTGTTAGATCCATCCATCTGTCCAGTGCTAACCGCAGTCCACCCCGGATTGTCCAGGAGTGTGTTTGATGTGATGTCATATCTTGTCAGGTCCGTAACCTTAAAGAATCGCAGTCAACCAAGATGCATTGCGTGCTAACATGTTTTCATTGTTTTGCGGTATTCCGCCATTTTGTTATCCAGTTTATTGACGAAATATTGACATCCGAAACGTATCCTTATCAATCTGCATTATTCTTAGACGATGTCATATTCTCCATAATTGGAATATGTTAATATATCATTGATTGATATTTTGGCGTGTGTATTTATCTTAATCAATGATTTTAGAAAGTTTTATCATTTTATAAAGTAGATGGCTAATCAAGGCTTCTATGTTTCCCGTTCGTGGAAGACCAACAAGTGAGGGTATATATAAAAAAGAATATCGTTGACAAGTTCAACGATACTTGAACAACCGTCCTTTGGACGGAAAGGAAAGAAAACCATGGAATACGGGGGCTTTCGCATTGCGAGTTCGCCGAAATCCTGCTCCATCAAAGCATGGACGAACTGCGTGAACGTAGTACAGAGTTGCAAAACCTGTTCAAATTTCCTCCGGGTAAAATTTAAAGTTTTCAAACCTTCCTCAAAATAAATTAAATAGATATGGCTATTCTGAAAGCATAACACCATAGATATCTTATATACACTAGATAGCACATCTCTTTTAGTAAAATTGAAGCCAAGAATATTCCAGCGGTTACCCCCATTTGAATAGATGGCGGCCATGTTGGTCGTTCCCACTTGCTAATAAACGCTTAAAAACAACAATAACTTTCATCATTTGAATAGTTTAAAAACGTATTTGGAATAGGGTTAACTTAATGTTTAAGTTCCCTGTTTAAGAAATAGAAAATATACGAATCTTCTCATTTCATGGGAACGACCTGAGACTGCAATCACGGCTTCAATTTTTGAATTGCAGAATAATTAGATGCACTATCTAGTGTATATAAGATATCTATGATATCTATATGCATAACACACAGTACATGATTCTAATATATAAATTTGCCATAATAGATTTATACTTTGGACAAATTGGATAGTCCTTACCTACTATGTCTACATCCTATATCATATATTGAATATAAAATAATATTTAAAAATGATATTACTGTATACTTGTGGTTTTGAAAGGCATTTGAGAGTGTTTAGGTCTTCAGACGTGTGACCCAATTGCCCAATTTCACAATCAGTGAGGCAGCGAATGCTCTCACTTGTTTCTGAGGCAAAGTGCTAAATTTAAACCAAGCCATATAGTGCCCTGCATGACAGTTTATGGCAATGTTTGGAGTGGTTGAAAATCAATGGCAATGGCAATATATCTCTAGACCAGATGCTGCCAATCCTGCAATATACTTATATAGTTTGTGGGAATTGACAGTGTAGGTATCAGGCATGTAAATAATGATTTCGATTATAGGACCTCGATATATTCTGTTGATCTGTATTAAATATGTATGACAGCTACACAACTCAGTAATTAAGTATAGGTTATTTTGAGGCAACGAGGGGATATGTGATTTATTCACCAAGGCGCGCAGCGCCGAGGTGAATAAACACATATCCCCGAGGTGCCTCAAAATAACGTACTTATTTTTCACACTGCGAGGTCGCGTTAATGAGTCAGAATAGAAATAATTCTTAATGTCATATTGCCTTCGTTATGTCGTTTTTTTCTCATTTTTTGTGCTGCAAAGACATGGCAGGTGAATATTAGAGGGGATTATTAATTACAGGTGAATATTAGAGGGGATTATTAAACGGAAATTGATTAGAGGAGAATATTGAATATATTCCCCGATAAGAACAAAGGAAACCGAGCTGGGTGAAAAATAAGCTGTACTTTTTTTGTCCGACTCACATCACACATGCTAAAATTTCTTCCTCAACTTTGTTTATAAAGCCATTATTTATATAATTATTACAATGTTTAGTTGCTACAACATTGATGGTTTATTTCATTAAATTAAAAAACAAATTCCTAACATTTAATATTTCTGTAAGTTCTGAAGTGAAGTGTCATAAACCAAAATAAACATATTACAGTACACATTTCTGTCATTTCCAACATATCCTTGAACTAAATGCGAAGTTCCTGTAAAATGCAATGAAATTTCTTTCAACTTTCTGTTTGTTTGAATTGGCAGTTTTAAATGGCACTAAAACCCCAATATAAAATATAAAATACCTTAACTGTCTTGAAATATTTTGTCGGACGGTACATTTATATTGTATAACAAAATATAAAAAATTTTAACACGGCTCTTAAAATACAGTTGGGCGGTGATGAGAATCCAGCAAGTTATTTTATGTGGCCTAAGGCACCTCTGATGCTTGACACTTACACATTTTAATTTTACAGAATATTTTCAGTTATTTGTCTTCTCAGTATTCTCCAATGTCATATAGTCATCTGGTATAGGTACTATATCACAATAGTGCCACCACAACTTGTCAGCCTCAACTGCCTTATTCAACCCGATGATTTATTTGTTTTACTCATTTGGTGTTAGCAACCATTGGCCACTAAACCTTCCTCACTGACCTCACCTATGGTAAACCTTCCTCGCGGGCAATGCCCGCGTGCCCGCAGCTTTTTAGCAACTCTGACGTAGTAGGCAACCTCTTTCCCAGGGCTTTCGTGTGAGGACGAGACGAGAAAGCCCTGGTCTGGGCCGGTCAATTTTGCATTCTGATTGGCAATCTCGTTCCCCGAGCCTGCGATACTCGGGAAGGAACGCGAGGCTCTGGGATAATCCGTTTCAGGGAGGAATCTGATTGGCCGTTGAAATGGAATGCGTAGTTCAATCTTAGCCAGAATTCCTGGCTTCCGGCAACGGATTATCCCAGAGCCTCGCGTTCCTTCCCGAGGATCGCAGGCTCAGGGAACGAGATTGTCTGATTGGCTGACACCATATTGTCTAAAAGTAGCAGAACTTGACAGTTGCAATAAGAATTCAATATATGTTTTTTTTATGATTGTTGTGTATACGAGTATATTTTGCAATAATCTTTCAAAGTAAGAAGCTTTCAGTTTTCCCGACTGGCATGATTTACTTTCGCCTCGGCCGGTTACAAAACTCGACAGCTAGCCGTATCGACGTGAGCTGTGATATTTCCTGACCAAACAAGAAACGTATATTATTTAATAAGCTATAGAGTATAGTTGCAGCATTTATAATGTAGTGCAGATGTCTGATGAAATACTACGCGTATTGCATTGTAGTAATACTTTAATTACGATATTCTATACTGACAAATGTAAGCTAACAATTAAATTAACTACTAATTTAGTAATTTAGGCCCTATTTATTTAGCTTTACGCGTAGGTTAAGCCTGGT